GAGAGAGAGAGAGAGAGAGAGAGAGAGAGAGAGACTTGGAGACGTCCAGAGATAACAGAACACAGAGAGGATACTCTGGAACGCTGTCTTGAGCAGAACATAGGCTTCTAGCTTGGAGCTATGATTTGATTTTGAGTCTTTTGTTTTGTTGCTATCAAATACTTCTTCTCTCAGAACCCACCTCCAAGCCAAGGCTGGTCCTTGGTAGCCATCATCAAACCTGGCCCACATGTTTTCTTCATTTTCCACTTTTTTTTAAATTTCTTTGTGAATTCTAGACATATTAATGCTTCAATAGATGTATAGCAGCAAAGTTTCTTTACCATCGTGTAAGCTGCCTCTTTACCCAGTTGATCATTTCTATTGCTTTACAAGCCTTTTAATTTAATAAGATTCAATGTATTAAATCTTTTTCTTACCTTCTAAGCAACTAGGATTTTATTAGAAAGTCTTTACTTATGCCTGTATATTTTACTGAATGCCCTGCATTTTTATCTAGAACTTTCATTATTTTTTTTAATAGGGAAAGATGTTATATACAATCTACTTTTATTTCTATGATAATGTTTAATTCTTTTCTACATTGTCATTGGAAATATAATTCTTTTTGACTGGCATTCTCTGTTAGCAATTTGAATTTGTTTTCATGTCTTTGAATCAGTTTCTGATGAAAATTCAGCTCTTAAAGTGATTGAATATTTGTTGTATGTGATAACTCATTTCTTCCTGATTATTTCTAGTATTGTCTTTTGGACAGTTTTATTATGGTATTTTAAGTGTAGTGTTTTTGATGTAACTTCTTAGATAGGTGCATATGTATGATATATATCTCTCTATCTCTATATCTATATATAATATTTTTAAACAAGAGTTGTGAGTTTCAGTCCATTACTTATCCTAGGACTCTTGTCATGTGTAGGTTATTTTGCTTCATAGTATCTCATCATGTCTATGATTCTCTTTATTTCTCTTTAGTTATCTTTATGTTTCTCAGATTGTGCAATTTATGTTTTCTCTCAAAGTATTGATTGATTTGTTTCTTTGACATACAATAAGTATTAAATAATTGTTGACTGAGCAATGCTCAGAAAGCCCAATCACCAGCTACGTCTCTAGGATGATCTTACAGAGGTCTTTGCCTCTAGTTTAGGACCTTGACTTATTGAACTTTCAAATTTTATACTCATATCTATTTGATTCTTTATAGTGTTAACATTCTTTCTACTTTGTAATCATGCTCATCTCCTCAATGGGCTTCAGCCACTTTCTCATGTTTGTATTGTAGACAAGAGGAGATGCTGCATCTGAGTCTGAGTAGTCCTGTGGCATTCTCCATGACCAGCTCTGGGCCATTCAAAAGCTGCCTGCACCTCTTTCATCCAATACACTGGTCATAAAAGAAGATCACAGTGGTACCTGCATGGTTGGGCTTTTCAGAGTCTAAATGTGGGTGTGCTTGTCAAATTCAGACTATACATTTCAGTGGACCCATCTCCAAGTTTGTTGATTTCTTTTTTGCCTGCTTAACTGTGCCATTGAACCTGCACAGGCAACACCCCATTTCAGCCCTCAGAATCTGATATGATAGGTTTCACGTTTGTATAATTCATCAGCTGTGAAAAGTTCTTAGCTATTCTCTCTTAAAACACTGCTTCTTCATTCCTATTATTTTCTCTAGAAACTCCTCTGATATTCAGCCTTTATTATGTTCATTCACTTTCTTCTCCATGTTTATCAGTTACCTTTTTTTTTTTTTTGTATCCCATCTCTGTTATGTGATACTACCCCAACCATTTCTGGCTTGCTTTTCATGGTTTGCTTAGTTTGTTTTAAAAACAAAACAAAACAATATGAAACAAAATAACTTTGTACCACTGGATCAGGGGTGGCAAGGCCGCAGTAGGCTGCCCCCTGGCATTAACCACTAATTAAGAATATGCTCCACAGACTTGCCTACAGGCCAGTCTTATAGAAGCATTTTCTCAATTAAGGTTCCCTCTTTCCAGATGATCCTAGCTTGTGTCAAGCTGATAAAAGTAACCAGAACAGCACTTTACAAAAATATCTTTTACTTTTTTCTCTAAACATTTATGCTATTTATTTCATTACTCAAGTGCTTAATATCTTTCGTTGTAAAATTTACTTTGATCTGAACTATCGCAACAATATTTGATCTTAGTGTAAATCTATGCATAATTTTCAAATACACTATTTTATCTGATGGTAACATTCCAGCATCTTCTTGTAAAAATAATGATATATTTGCTTTTCAGCTACCCCTCCATAGGGAAACAATGCAAGATCAATATATGCATGGTATTATCTTTCTAAATATAAGAAATGTTAATGTCTAAACCCCACTTCCCGTAAGTCTAGTATGTGAATGTGATTCTGCATTATTATCAGTTATGGTAATTACTATTACTAACTTTTAGAAACATTTCACTGAATTCTTTATCTCAGTCTTCCCAGATACAATGATACAGAAAGAAGAAGGAAATACATTCTGTATGTGATTACACTGAGTTCAGGCTTCCAGGGCTTTCTGTATGTGCTCACAACATAGGTTGATTGGACTTAGAATATTTCTAAGCACTACTTCATTGCATTGTGATCACACTATTGTGTGCATGGATTCTAACAGTGTTTTTAAGTCTAACTGTTGATTTAGACACATGGGACCTAGTTCACAGCACTAAGTCATTTCTATTTTTTTTTCTATGAAGGCTCTGTTCCAGAAATCAAATCAATTTTAAACATGAAAATCTAGCTGGGTATAGTGGTTCACAACTCTAATCTCCGCACTTATGAGGTTGATACAGGAAGGTTTCTGAGAATTTGAGGCTAGCCTGGGCTATATAGTGAGTTCCAGAGCAAACCAGACTGTATAATGAAACTTGTGTCAGAAAACAAAGCACAAAAGCAAAGCAGAACTAAAGTATGATTACAGTATGGAATGATCTAATTCATGTATCTATTTCTTTATATTTTGAGATTGACTTGGTGATTTTGTGAGACAATATTTTACATACTGAAAACACATGGGAGAAATAAAACTATTAATTTGATATCTTTTGAGCTGTTTTATGCCACAGTGGGAAGAAAAATGACAAACAAGTATAGAGAATAAAGCTTATTTTACACGCAAATGTTTGAAAATGTTGTGATGGGGAAGAGCTATTGCTCTTCTCTATCAGAAGGTCCAAGTCTTTTCCTGAGTCTCCTCATGGCTGACTTCATCTCTTGGTTCCTCAGAGTATAGATCAAGGGATTTAGCAGAGGGGAGATGACTGTGAAGGTGACAGAGATGGCTTTATCTGTGGGGAGGGCAGTGAAGGGTCTGGCATAGACATAGATGCAGGGCACAAAGTGCAGGGTGACCACAGTGATGTGGGAGGTGCAGGTGGAGATGGCTTTCTTCCTGCCCTCTCCTGACTGAGACCTAAGCATCATCAGAATGATTGTATATGACACCACCAACAACACAAACCACAGAGTAGCAACCAGGCCATTATTGGAAATCATCAGCAGCTCAAGTACAAAGATGTCTGTGCAGGCAAGTTTGATGACCTGGGGGACATCACAGTAGAAAGTGTCAAGGACATTGGGTCCACAGAATGGAAGTGTCAGCAAGAGAGAAATCTGTACTATGGAGTGGGCAAAGCCTCCCACCCAGGAGGCTGCTATCAGCCCAATGCAACGGCCTCTGCTCATGATGGTCACATAGTGC